AAAAAAACCTTTCCTCTAGAGGTGTGAAGGAAGAGCTCCAGATTCTACTCACTGTATTTTACACAACCTAACACAGACAACTCCACCAGATGAGGACAAAGTCCTACTGAAGGACAGCACTGAACTCCACCAGTATTATTCACCTCCACAGCCTTGAAGGAACCGTGAGGCACTGCAGATACAAACCTAGAGGCACTCCGCAAAGCCCATGCTCAGGCCATGGCAGAACAGCTGGACACATGATTGACCAAGGACAGCTGGGAAAGGTCAGCCGCTCCCATAGAGCAAATGTTATTGATTAAAAACAACTCTCAGGCTGGGGCTGGGGCTCAGTGGCAGAGCGCTTGCCTAGCGTGTGTGAAGCACTGGGTTTGATCCTCAGCACTACATTAAAAATTTAATTAATTAAATAAAGGCATGCTGTCCGTCTACAATTATTAAAAAAAATTTTTTTTTAAAATCCTCGTTTCTGCTTTAACCAAACAAAAAATATTCACAAAGACTTTAAAAAGCTTAGCTTTTAGTCACAGAAGACAGAAAGTACTTGGGAGAACAATTAAAATTCAACCCTTAGACATTCCTGTTAGATAGGAATGCACACCCTGAAGACAGCGAAGAAATGAAATGTTACATTACAGAGCAAAAAAAAATCCTCTCAATTACACAAAAGGTAGAATTTCATTTCCTTCAAGTTTGAACAGATCTGCAGGTTGTATCCTGGCAAGTCCCATTTGAGTAACACTGAAGAAAACCACCTGTGATTACCTGCCACAGGCTGGCCAGGCCTCCCGCCCCGCCGTGTGCACGAGTGTTGCAGCCCACTGCGGCAGGCGGGACCTCCTGCGAGAAAGCAAGCTAAGTGCAGGTCATTGTAACGCTGCAAGACTAGTCGCTTGCACTTGTTAAAAGATTTATTCTAATACCTTCTAGTTCAGTAAAAGCTGGCATATGTGGTTAAACGTAGTTTAACCACTGTCACTGAGAAAAATGATTCAAATGCACACAAGTTCAGAGATTAAAATAACACTCTCTGGTTGTTATTTAAAACCATAAACGTTGCTTGCTGATTTCACCAGGCTAGATTGATCAAAAGCAGAAAATAAAAACATTTCCATCTCCTGCCACAAACAGCCGAGGGCAAGCATGGAGAACCCCAGCCCTCCTCCCACTTCTCCTTCCTTGTCAGCGCAAGGCTTTGAGGCTGTCCCTGACAGCCCAGGCCAATCTGCTGTGCGGGGTCGCAAATTTTTCCTGTAAAGGGACTCCACAGTAAGTATTTTCAGCTTTGCTGGCCAGAAGGCCTCAGCCACAATTTCTTCGTCCTGCCCTTAAGGCCCAAAGCAGCCACAGCAACACCTAAACAAAAGAGCATGGCTGGGCTCTAATAAAACTCCTGTGGGTGCCAAAATCTAAAGTTCATATAATTTTCATGTGTCATGAAATTTTATTTTTCCCCTACCACTTAAAAATGTAGAAACCATTCTTAACTCATGGGCCACAATAAAACAGGTTGTGGGCCAGATCTGGCCACAGTCTGGAAACCCGTTTGAATAGGTTCCAAACACACCAGTCCTCTCCTGACCCCAAAATCACATGCTTCCCCCTCCCATTGTGCTCACCACATCTTAAATCCACTTCTCATCAGAGCAACCGGAAGCTCTGATGCAGCGCATTAAATGAGAGAAGCTAGGAAAGGTCAAGGGGACACAGAGGCAGGCCTGAGCTGCTGGACCAAAGCGACGCCAGAATAGAAGTGTGCGCTAGCAGCAAGGCACACAGGAGGGTGGCCTGCTCCACCAGGGCACTGTGGGAGCTCACACAGACCCAGAGGTAGCTCCGAGAGTGGCCAGGAGCACACAGAAGGCAGAACCATCACACTCTGAAGAATATAGGCAGAGAATGTCATCATATCTCAGGCAAAGAGACTTCAACTTCACAGGTGCCATCTGAGCACCCACCCACCCTCATCAAAGAAGAGCCTGGTGGGGGAAAGGCACATCTGCCAGTAAAGTACCAAGCAACAAGGGCTCAGGAAGAGGCCACAGCACACAGGCACTGGCAAGACAGTGGCTCACCTGATGTGAGGTCACGGAGGCTCTGGGCCAACGGGTGCAACACCTGGCATGTGTTCCAAGGACCCCTCTGGCTGCTCTCTGAAGCACTGAGCACAAAAGCTGAACGGGAAGACAGCAGGACACTGAGCAGCAGATGTGATAGCGGAGACCAGATTCTCAAGACACAGCCAACACAATTTGATGATAAATGTTATGAGAGGTACGTGAGAAAGGGTGGGCAAAGGTGATTCCAAAACCGTGGCCTGAATGACAAATGCAAAGATGTATTTGATGTTTAGGGAACAAGAAATAAAAAGACAACCAGGAGATATTTGGGGGATGAAAGGATCAGGAGTTTGGTTTGGGGAATGTTAAATTTGAGGTGCTCATGAGGGGTTGCAGAGAAAATGGAGCTCGGTGAGTGGGAGGGAATGACAGCATGGCCACATGGAAGGGCTACAGAGGCTCCTCGAAAAGTAACGACAGCAACTGCCTTGTGGTCCAGGGCTCCACTTCTGCACTGGCACCCCCGTGTTCACTGCAGCACTGTCCACAATAACCAAGGCAAGCAAGCAGCCACGTGCCCATTGATGGATGGAGGGACCAACAGGGGACACAGACACCTGGCACATCTTCAGCTTTAAAAGTGAGGGAAACCTGTCATCTCAACCACAAGATGAACCTGAGCATGTGCTGCTAAGTGAACTAAGCCAGACACAGGAAGATAACCACTACCTGATCCCACGCTAACAGGATTGGCAAAGCTGAACTCAGGGAAGGGGGCAGTGACCAGATACTGGGGTGTGGAGAAGATAGGGATGAGCTGCTGTTGACCAAAGGGCACAAATCTCAGAGAGACAGGGGAGCAGGTTTGAGGTCCACTGCACAACAGGGTAACTATAGTCAAAAATAATGCACTCTGTGTTCCAACATAAACACATCTGAAATGT